CAGACACACAGACAGACAGACAGACAGACAGACACACAGACAGACAGACAGATGGATAGACAGACAGACAGACAGACACACAGACAGACAGACAGACAGACACACAGACAGACAGACAGATGGATAGACACACAGACAGACAGACACACAGACAGACAGACCAGACACACAGACAGACAGACAGATGGATAGACAGGCAGACAGACAGACAGACAGACACTTTTCCAAACCAGTCAAACGTATCTCCCGCCTGTGAGTCCTAATGTGTAAACTCCAAAGAGCGATCTCATCGATTAAAAAAACCCGTTCCGTTTCCTTTCTGTCGGGGGCTCATTACAACTCTCATGTTTTACACTTTGGGCAATTAGAAAAAGAAACGCGAGCTATTTACAGCGGTTTAATATTGTGCCTTTGCGTGCGGCTGCTGCAACAACAGAGAAGGTTAACGTTAGCATACTCATTAGCATCGGGACACTGGAGTCAGCACTTTAAGCTAGCGGCAAAAGTTACAGTGTTACTCTGTGTGGTATAATATCAGCAGGAGGAGGGTCTCTCTTCTCTTGGGGCCCGGGGGGGAGGGCCCCGTGGGGGGGGGCATCACATGTGCAGGACTTTAACATGGCTTTCATTCAGAGCTCACTGTGTGCTTCTTTGTCCGTTGGTTTTAAATAACGTACCATTAAAATGAGAGTACATTTTATTGCCATGAAAGTAACAGGAAGTCACGGACGAGGAAATGGCTTTGGCTCTGGGTGAGTCAAGGAAGAGACGGAGAGAATAGACTGAGGCATAGTAAAAAACAACAGATATGTCTAATTATTATTATACTAATTATTACTATACGTTATTACTATAAAGGGCCCTAATCCGTCGTCATCAAATGGCCCTAATCTGTCAAAAATACTAATTATTACTATAAACCAATCAGACAAGACATAGACCCACGTACTGTCACATAATAAGCAAAAAAACAGTATTCTAACTATTGCACAGTAGTTCTGGGTTTGATTCCACCTCCAGGTCTTTCTGTGTGGAGTTTGCATGTTCTCCCTGTGTCTGCGTAGATTTCCTCCGGGTGCTCCGGTTTCCCCTCCCACTAAACACATGTAAAATAGTTCTGGCATGTGCCTCCTGTAGGCGACAATAGACTGTAAATATTAAAGGACGTAGTGACGACTTTTTCAAAATGGCCGTGAGTGGCCCCTCCCACAGGAAGAAGGTGAAAAAACATTGTATCATTTTATAATTATTTTATTAGTGTTTTATAAATAAACTGAATTCTGTGATTCTGTTTCCGGGTACACCCCCACAGACAAGGAGTGAGATTACAGGTATGTGATTACAGGCCCCTCACATCTCTCTGCGTGAAGTGAACGACAAAATTCTACAAAAAACAACAACATGTAAAACTCTTTGTGACTCTGGTCTGTGAAAAATATTACTTACTTAACTACGAGATTACCTAAAAAACAACCAAAATATTGATCCAATTTAACTATCAGTGTAACGGATGGAAGACTCCGACTTTCGACGGATGTGTGTTTTTCTGTCGTTATAAAATGTGGCTCATTAACGTCGTGTTTTTGTATCGACCGTAAATGAACTCACATCTGCCACAAAAATGATGTTTCCAGATTGTGCGACGCTTCTGCACAAAGTGATCAGTGCAAAAAACCATCAAGACTTCTCTGAGACTGACACCATGTCAGATTCTGCCAAAACCAGTTATGTAGAAAAATAACAAAACACAAAACTCTTTAGACTGTAAGATTTTCATGTCTGTCATCATCAAAGGGCCCTAATCTGTCAACATCAAAGGGCCCTAATCTGTCATCATTAAAGGGCCCTAATCTGTCATCAAAGGGCCCTAATCTGTCATCATTAAAGGGCCCTAATCTGTCATCATTAAAGGGTCCTAATCTGTCATCATTAAAGGGCCCTAATCTGTTGTCTTTAAAGGGCCCTAATCTGTCATCATTAAAGGGCCCTAATCCGTCATCAATAAAGGGCCCTAATCTGTCGTCATTAAAGGGCCCAAATCTGTCATCATTAAAGGGCCCTAATCTGTCATCATTAAAGGGCCCTAATCTGTCATCATTAAAGGGCCCTAATCTGTCATCGTTAAAGGGCCCTAATATGACATCATTAAAGGGCCCTAATCTGACATCATTAAAGGGCCATAATCTTTCATCATAAAAGAACCCTAATCTGTCATCATTAAAGGGCCCTAATCTGTCGTCATTAAAGGGCCCAAATCTGACATCATTAAAGGGCCCTAATCTGTCATCATTAAAGGGCCCTAATCTGTCATAATAATAAACTGCTCTTTAACTGATAACAGTAGTTCAGAGATATTTGAGTTTCTAAATTACTTTTCCAGCCTCTAAATCTTGTTATTGTTTTCATTTCGATGTCCCGCCCTCCACCGTTTCACCAATCAGAAAGTCTGTGATCCGGGCGCCAGAACTCACCGCGTGGAGCTAATCTCACTGGTAAAGTACCATGTGGCGCAGAACTAAAAAAGGTCTCGTTATGATTCTCAAATCATTAACGACAAAACAAGGAATAAAAGCAGGATTTCTATCTTTGTGAAAAAGGTGTTGGTTATAGATTTGTTGTTGACAAAACTCTTGTCTATTCAGCTGTTATGGTTCCAGCTGGATTCGTCTGCATATCTGGCAACCTGAGTCAGGGAGAGTGGGAGAGGCTGCAGTACCACTTTTGGCCACATGTTTACAAACTGTTCCTAGATCCTTCATTCGTCCCACAGCGGGGAAATTTCAGTGTTGCATCACAAGTTACAGAACACTAGGAACGAAGAGACAAAACCAACACAATCTCTAACTTTAGAAAAACAAAAAAGCAGCACAAAATCTGTAGCTTCAGCTTAAGACGAAGCAAATGTGTGAATGTACTTCCTTCCTGAGCCAATCTCTCTCACGATGATGTCATGAACAACAGCAGTGTTTGTTTTTCTCTCCTCATTTGCAAAGTTTGACATTTTGACAATGATTTTAATGAAAAATACAGCACATATAAATGCCATCATCATTAATCCAACTCCTTGTTTGTCGACGTCTTGGAAAGCACCCAGACTATTGCATATCCAAGGTCACATGACTGTCCCCGTACAGCCTCAGCACAGCCCAGGCTATTATTTTTACACCTGTAATATGATAAAAAGGCAGTATTTGTCTGAGGGCGGCGCGGCGTCAGGCACAGGCCACGGACCAGGAGCTCACGGCTTGTTTGGTGTCAGTAATAATATGGTCTCTGCAGCTCAGCCGTGAAAGGACGTCGTGAGCTGTTCGTTATTGAGTCATGTCCGGAGAATGGAAAAGGTCTCGGGGTTTTGTCTTTTCGTTTATCGCAGAGAAAGCCATGAGTTTAAAATAATGCAAACTGGATACGAAAAACATGACATAAACAGGAGAATATTTGACATTTTTAGAGAATTTTTTTTGAGCTTTTTAAATCAGAAAAAAACGTCTTTCTGTATGTTGACACATGTAAAGTTTTTCTCACAATATTATTGTAGAGTATAGAGTCAAGGAGCAGAGGAGCAGAGGAGGAGCAGAGGAGTGGAGGAGCAGAGGAGTGGAGGAGCAGAGGAGGGGCAGAGGAGGAGCAGAGGAGGGGCAGGAGTGGAGGAGCAGAGGAGCAGAGTAGTGAAGGGGCAGAGGAGGAGCAGGAGTGGAGGAGCAGAGGAGCAGAAGAGTGAAGGGGCAGAGGAGGAGCAGGAGTGGAGGAGCAGAGGAGGGGCAGAGGAGGAGAGGAGTGGAGGAGCAGAGGAGGAGAGGAGTGGAGGAGCAGAGGAGGAGCAGAGGAGGAGCAGAGGAGCAGAGTAGCAGGAGCAGAGGAGGAGCAGAGGAGCAGAGGAGGAGCAGAGGAGTGGAGGAGAAGAGGAGCAGAGGAGTGGAGGAGCAGAGGAGGAGCAGAGGAGGAGCAGAGGAGTGGAGGAGCAGAGGAGGAGCAGAGGAGCAGAGGAGCAGAGGAGGAGCAGAGGAGAAGCAGAGAAGGAGAGGAGCAGGAGCAGAGGAGGAGCAGAGGAGGAGCAGAGGAGCTACAGACTGAATCCAGGTCTTATTATCCGCTGATATGTCTGTTATTAAGGGTGTTACTGGGATTTCCCTGTGGCTCTGTGTGAGAAGTGACTGGTCCAGACTGGTCCAGACTGGTCCAGACTGCAGAGAACATGGGACACTTATGGCTCTCCAATTAAAGTGACGTTGGGTGGACAGATGTGCAGCTCCAGGAGGAGACAAAGGAAAAAGACAATTCTAATCTGTATTCACTTCTCTCACAGCACTGAATCTACTCTGGATATTTTTGTCCAATTAAAACACAGGGTTTATGGCTTTTCCAGTTTCATATGCAGATTATATATTATTATTATTTTAGATCGTATGTGGTTCAGATTAAGAGATCAGTATAAAAGCAGGATCAAATCTTTTTAGCATAACACAGAATAATAAAAAAAGAATAAATATACAAATAGACCTCACACTAATTATTTTATATTTGATACTATTATTATTATTATTATTATTTTATGTCTTTTTGTGCATTATAACTTTTTCCTTGTGACATTCTGTTTGAATTCTAAAGGCAGAAACTACACTGACCCTTTAAGCAGACTCGACAGTATCATGTGTGGATGAGGAAGTCTGGGCGGCTCTGCTTAGACTGCTGTCCCCGCCACCCGGCAACGGATGAAGCGGAAGAAAATGGTATGGTACTAATACGTCAAGTTTCTCAGTTTCACCCATTTAAGGGCTAGACACACGGGAGGCGACAAATGAGAGCGATCAGCGAAACTCAACGCTGTCGCTCAGATAACATGACAGACGGGGCGCGATGCGGCTTGACGACAGCGTCGAAAAGTTGAGCCGATTTCAACTTTCTGGGATCGCGTCGCTGACCTGCGCGTGCACGATACATGCACGAGCAGGAGGATTTCACACGCACGTTTTTCGCCCGTCGCTGAGCAGGAGGCTCGCTAGCGATTGACACTATGTCGCGCACGTCCCATTGAAGGGCTCGACACACGGGAGGCGACAAATGAGAGCGATCAGCGAAACTCAACGCTGTCGCTCAGATAACATGACAGACGGGGCGCGATGCGGCTTGACGACAGCGTCGAAAAGTTGAGCCGATTTCAACTTTCTGGGATCGCGTCGCTGACCTGCGCGTGCACGATACATGCACGAGCAGGAGGATTTCACACGCACGTTTTTCGCCCGTCGCTGAGCAGGAGGCTCGCTAGCGATTGACGCTATGTCGCGCACGTCCCATTGAAATGAATGGAGGCGATGCGATGTCGCCTCCCGTGTGTCTAGCCCATGAAATGAATGGAGGCGATGCGATGTCGCCTCCCGTGTGTCTAGCCCATTACTCCAATATGTTGTAAATGTAGCAGGCTGGTCTTATTTGGTAAAAACAAAACATTAAATTAGTAAAAAGTACTTGTGAATCGGTCATGACTTTCGTTTGAGATGCAGTGTGTGGGTTTGCCGGACATCAAGCCTCAGGCCACCAGCTCAGAACAACCAGCACTCACTCCAAGTATATCTCCAAACTTTTCTATGGCCAGGAATAACTTGCTCTAGCCTGGTCTTTCCGCACCATGGTACTCATTTCATTTCATACTAAGGTCTGGATTTGCTCCATTGACTCCATGAACAGGTGGGAGGGGCTAACTCCTTTTGCAGATTGAAACCATTGGATCTGAGTTTACTGTGACGTATGTAATGAGCCCGAGTGAGTGAGGCATTTAGCATTTAGCCTAGCTTTAGCATGTAGCCTAGCTTTAGCATATAGCCTAGCTTTAGCATGTAGCCTAGCTTTAGCCATCTCCTTTGTCACTAACGGAGCCCGTGGGGAGTAGAGCCACAACATCTTTGCTTCAGTGACATTTACTAAACATTCCTCTTGCTCCGGCTTCAGTTTCTTGATATTTGGATTGAACCAGAACAGATTATTTTACTATCGCATTCTCCGACAAACTACAACCAGCAAATTCAGCACAAACTCTTGACGTCACCGACACCGACCTACAACACCCGCCTCCCCCGCTCTCTGATTGGTCGGAGGAGATTCAACCGAGGAAACTGCAGCCAATAGGATCAGACCCAGACGTACATGTAGGAAATGACCATGGACCAGAGTTTACACATGGTAAGACCAGACGCACATGTAGGAAATGATCATGGACCAGAGTTTACACATGGTAAGACCAGACGTACATGTAGGAGATGACCATGGACCAGAGTTTACACATGGTAAGACCAGACGCACATGTAGGAAATGATCATGGACCAGAGTTTACACATGGTAAGACCAGACGTACATGTAGGAGATGATCATGGACCAGAGTTTACACATGGTAAGACCAGACGTACATGTAGGAAATGATCATGGACCAGAGTTTACACATGGTAAGACCAGACGTACATGTAGGAAATGATCATGGACCAGAGTTTACACATGGTAAGACCAGACGTACATGTAGGAGATGACCATGAACCAGAGTTTACACATGGTAAGACCAGACGTACATGTAGGAGATGACCATGAACCAGAGTTTACACATGGTAAGACCAGACGTACATGTAGGAAATGACCATGGACCAGAGTTCACACATGGTAAGACCAGACGTACATGTAGGAGATGACCATGAACCAGAGTTTACACATGGTAAGACCAGACGTACATGTAGGAAATGACCATGGACCAGAGTTCACACATGGTAAGTGTGTGTCTGTCCAAACACTCACCGAACATGTTTCCGATGTGGCCGTCCCGGGTCTGAGGCCGCAGCTCGTTCTTGCCCCAAGCGTAGCGTTTGTAGTTGTCCCAGGCAAACTTCATCATCTGCAGAACAAACTCAGGGTCAGAGACGAGAGAAAACCCAGACTCAAACTGGCAACCCCTGCAGGTATTGGCAACGATCGCCCATTGATCCCAACACACACACAACACACTGCAAAAGACAACAACTCCAGCAAATTTCCAAGGTGGGAATTAATTGTGAAGTAGTTAAATTGTGTCATATCCACTCAAAAAATGAACAGAAGTCATGATAATACATCCACACTACAGTTTCAAAAAGCTTGCTTCAATTACATGTATTTTGTATAGTTTCTGTAAAAAAGCATTTGTAAATATCTTTATGTAAATCTGGGGTCCGAGATTAGTTTTTTTTCATCCTACTCCTGTTTTCATGGAATGTTTAACTGTTGTACTTTCTGCTGGATTATTGTAGTATTGTGTTGAATTACCATAAAAACTAGAGCCAAAAAAAGACATTAAGTAATAAGTAACTGGGTAATGCTTAATTATATAGCGCATTTTACAGACCAAAGTCACCCACAGCGCTTCACTATGTTCAAATGTGAAGGAGACGTGGACAGAGCCAGCAGGGGGCGTGGTCCGTGGATATTCACATGTGTTTAAATGGCATCTTTTAGTCAAGATTATGCTAAAAATATACTTTATAAGATAATAATAATAACGCATTGGTTTTATACAGCACTTTTCAGGCCTCACATGTCATTAATCATTCACTCCAAACACGGTGGTGATAAACTGCTATTTTAGCCACAGCTGCCCTGGGGCACACTGACAGAAGCGAGGCAACCAGTCTGTGCCATCGGCCCCTCCCACCACCACCAACCATTCACACACACACCAGACTCATTCTAATGTGGGGGAAGTGTCTTGCCTAAGCTCCCTATGAAGAGCCAACCGTCAGATTTGAAGATTCCCAATTAATTCCCGTTCATTACCATAAAGCCCGACTAACAATTAGATCCACCCGGCAACCACCCGGCAACCACCGAGCGAAATGACAGATGTGTAAAGTGCAGGAGCAGACGATAAGACGGTGCCAAGAAGAAAGTGTTAGCCCTCCATCTGCACCGGCGTCTTTGATGTGCAGAAGAAGAAGCCGAGTCCTTTCTCTCCAATCACACTCTCTGGGCCTGCAGCGACACACTCTACACACACAATTAGCTTGGCAGCGAATGAAAGAAGTTGGTTTGTTGAAGCCAAATAAATCCAGGAATATCCACACACAGCACGGCACAGACTCTGGCAACGCTCTGCTTCCTTTTGATTTGTGTTTTTGTGTAAATAACATGAAATGAGTGAGTCCTGCAGCACATCGCGGGTTAAAGGCAACTTCAGGGAATTTACAGAATATACAGAGAAGTAGAGCAGATTAATTCATCTCAGACTGACTATTATTACTCCACACATTGCTCTGTTTGTTGAGTAATAAAAAGTGTATAGAGCAGACTTGGAGATTCTTATCCTGCATTTGTCCCTCTCTCCAAATGAGCAGAAAAACTGCTGCAGTAGATTCAAAACACTGCAGCTCGATCCTGACTAGAACCAGGAAGTACATCACATTAGTCCTGACTAGAACCAGGAAGTACCATCACATTAGTCCTGACTAGAACCAGGAAGTACCATCACATTAGTCCTGACTAGAACCAGGAAGTACAATCACATTAGTCCTGACTAGAACCAGGAAGTACCATCACATTAGTCCTGACTAGAACCAGGAAGTGCCATCACATTAGTCCTGACTAGAACCAGGAAGTACCATCTCATTAGTCCTGGTCTCAGGTCTCTGCACCTGCGGCTCAGAGAATAGACTTTAAAACAGCTCTGCTTGTTACAAGTCTCTCCATGGCCTCGCACCAAAATATATTAGTGACATGTTAGTCCCATATGAACCAGCCCGGACTCTGAGGAGCACAGGGACTGGACTCCTGCTGGGACTCTGAGGAGCACAGGGACTGGCCTCCTGCTGGGACTCTGAGGAGCACAGGGACTGGACTCCTGCTGGGACTCTGAGGAGCACAGGGACTGGACTCCTGCTGGGACTCTGAGGAGCACAGGGACTGGACTCCTGCTGGGACTCTGAGGAGCACAGGGACTGGTCTCCTGCTGGGACTCTGAGGAGCACAGGGACTGGACTCCTGGGACTCTGAGGAGCACAGGGACTGGACTCCTGCTGGGACTCTGAGGAGCACAGGGACTGGCCTCCTGCTGGGACTCTGAGGAGCACAGGGACTGGCCTCCTGCTGGGACTCTGAGGAGCACAGGGACTGGCCTCCTGCTGGGACTCTGAGGAGCACAGGGACTGGCCTCCTGCTGGGACTCTGAGGAGCACAGGGACTGGCCTCCTGCTGGGACTCTGAGGAGCACAGGGACTGGCCTCCTGCTGGGACTCTGAGGAGCACAGGGACTGGCCTCCTGCTGGTCCCAGAGTAATTTATTTAATTTCAGGTTTCAGGTTCATACTGGATTCATTTGTTTGACGTTTCAAACACAGACCTTGATCATACATAATTCCATAGATACAGAGACTGAAATGGAATGGGAAGAAGTAAGACTTATAAATGTATGCAGCTAAAATCTGGAACAATCTTCCTGAAAATATGAAACAGGCTTCTTCTCTGACAATATTCAAATCCAGGATAAAAACAGCTCTGTTCAGCCGTGTTTGTTTCCGTATTGTTTTGTTCAGCACTTTGAGTTTCCTCTGTTAAAACAGTCGGCTTCAGCGAAAACAAAAGGCCTTTAATTACTACATGAACAAACATGTATGAAAACAAATCACTCATTACAGTCTCCAGGAGCAGGTAGGATCCCAGTCTGCACATGTGATGAGGCGTGTTGTAGGCGCGTTGTAGGCGTGTTGTAGACGTGTTGTAGGCGTGTTGTAGACGTGTTGTAGGCGTGTTGTAGACGTGTTGTAGGCGTGTTGTAGACGTGTTGTGGACGTGTTGTAGGCGTGTTGTAGACGTGTTGTGGACGTGTTGTAGGCGTGTTGTAGACGTGTTGTGGACGTGTTGTAGTCGTGTTGTGGACGTGTTGTGGACGTGTTGTAGACGTGTTGTAGGCGTGTTGTGGACGTGTTGTGGACGTGTTGTAGGCGTGTTGAAGACGTGTTGTAGACGTGTTGTGGACGTGTTATAGACGTGTTGTAGGCGTGTTGTGGACGTGTTGTGGACGTGTTGTAGGCGTGTTGTGGACGTGTTGTAGGCGTGTTGTTGACGTGTTGTGGACGTGTTGTAGGCGTGTTGTAGACGTGTTGTAGGCGTGTTGTGGACGTGTTGTAGGCGTGTTGTAGACGTGTTGTGGACGTGTTGTAGGCGTGTTGTGGACGTGTTGTGGACGTGTTGTGGACGTGTTGTAGGCGTGTTGTAGACGTGTTGTAGGCGCGTTGTAAGCGTGTTGCAGACGTGATGTAGACGTGTTGTAGGCGTGTTGTAGGCGTGTTGTAGGCGTGTTGTGGACGTGTTGTAGGCATGTTGTAGGCGTGTTCTAGACGTGTTGTAGACGTGTTGTAGGCGTGTTGTAGGCGTGTTGTGGACGTGTTGTGGACGTGTTGTAGGCGTGTTGTGGACGTGTTGTGGACGTGTTGTAGGCGTGTTGTAGACGTGTTGTAGACGTGTTGTAGGCGTGTTGTAGGCGTGTTGTGGACGTGTTGTGGACGTGTTGTAGGCGTGTTGTAGGCGTGTTGTGGACGTGTTGTAGGCGTGTTGTAAACGTGTTGTGGACGTGTTGTAGGCGTGTTGTAGACGTGTTGTAGGCGCGTTGTAGGCGTGTTGTAGACGTGTAGTAGACGTGTTGTAGGCGTGTTGTAGGCGTGTTGTGGACGTGTTCTAGGCGTGTTGTAGACGTGTTGTAGGCGTGTTGTAGGCGTGTTGTAGACGTGTTGTAGGCGTGTTGTAGGCGTGTTGTGGACGTGTTGTAGGCGTGTTGTAGGCGCGTTGTAGGCGTGTTGTAGACGTGTTGTAGGCGTGTTGTAGGCGCGTTGTAGGCGCGTTGTAGACGTGTTGTAGGCGTGTTGTAGGCGTGTTGTAGACGTGTTGTAGACAAGTTGTAGGCGTGTTGTAGACGTGTTGTAGGCGTGTTGTAGACGTGTTGTAGGCGTGTTGTAGGCGTATTGTAGACGTGTTGTAGGCGTGTTGTAGACGTGTTGTAGGCGTGTTGTGGACGTGTTGTAGACGTGTTGTAGGCGTGTTGTAGACGTGTTGTGGACGTGTTGTAGACGTGTTGTAGGCGTGTTGTGGACGTGTTGTGGACGTGTTGTAGGCGTGTTGTGGACATGTTGTAGGCGTGTTGTGGACGTGTTGTAGACGTGTTGTAGGCGTGTTGTAGACGTGTTGTGCACCTGTTGTAGGCGTGTTGTTGACGTGTTGTAAGGCAAGGCAAGGCAAGTTTATTTATATAGCACAATTCATACACAAGGCAATTCAAAGTACTGAACGAAACAAGAAAGCATTAAAATCATAAATAATCACAGAACATTAAAAAGAAAGATACAAATATAAAAATCCCTCAGTTGTAGCACAGCTAAACAGAACTGTCTTTAAAGAGCGACTAAACACCTGTGCCCAGCCTGACTCCGCCCACATGAAGATTTGAAAATTTTCTCTAAAAAAGGGCGTTGCCTGGAGGACCAAGGGACAAGAAGGGGGGCTTAGAGTTGGGCGTGGTCTGGGCTGTGATTGACAGCTCACTTGTCATACAAAAAAAAACAGACAGTTGTCATTGCTGCTTAAAGCAATAGTTAACAGACCAGAAAGTCTAATTCCACCCTTGTTTACACACTAAGATAATTGTAAAGCTACACACCTGAACCTAATCACACTCAATAATCTCAGAATTACTCATGTAATTTAATTTTAATCCACTAGATGGCGCCAGAATACTCCAAACTGCAGCTGGGCCGTGTGTGAGAGTTGAATGGGTTTATATCACTGGCTCTGACAGACTGACGTCACACAAAACAACTGATGTCATAGAGAACTTCAGAGTCAATGGAGAGGCCAGGACCAAATTCAAATGTAGTACCACCAAAAAGGTTGAGAGGGCGCCACACAGCGTTTTTTGGCTCAAAAGTGATATTTTATCTAATTTGAACTAAAATGTCAAAAAAATGACCAGGATATGTAGACAGCACTACAATAAACATATTTATGCAGTTTATGAGTTAAAAAAAAGTTGATTTGGTGTTTAGTCGCTCTTTAACCTGGTTTTAAACATTGTCAGAGAGGAGGCCTGTCTCACATCTTCAGGAAGACTGTTCCATGAATCTGAAAAGCAGCCTCCCCATGTTTAGTTCTGACTCTGGGCACTAACAGGAGTCCAGTCCCTGTGCTCCTCAGAGTCCCAGCAGGAGTCCAGTCCCTGTGCTCCTCAGAGTCCGGGCTGGTTCATATGGGACTAACATGTCACTAATATATTTTGGTGCGAGGCCATGGAGAGATTTGTACACAAGCAGAGCTGTTTTAAATTCTATTCTCTGAGCAACAGGAAGCCAGTGCAAAGACCTGAGGACTGGACTAATGTGGTCGTACTTCCTGGTTCTAGTCAGGACTAATGTGGTCGTACTTCCTGGTTCTAGTCAGGACTGCTGTATTTTGAATGTACTGCAGCTGTTTTACAGCCTGTTTGGACAGACCTGTGAGCAGGCCAT